ATTAAGGAGCTTGTGCCCGGAGATTCTGGTGGCAAGACAGCATTCTCGGACATGTAAATCCGCTGGGGGATAACAGGTTCTGGTGGTGAAATCTTGGAAAGATAATGCAGAAGCATATGTATTATTTGGCTGAAGTTAGGCCTAGCATTTGGGTCCTCCTTCCAACATGAAGTTACAATTAAAGCCAAATCCTCCGTTAGATCATCAGCGCTGGGTCTCACATTCTGAAAAACAAAGTTACAAACCTCGAATCATGGTTGACCAACGAGTAGGAACCCAGAATAATTGAATGAAATTTGTCTGGTAATGTCAAATTTCAACAAAAGAAGGCAGCAAGGGGCCCTCTAAACGTCAGACATTGACCATGCATGCATTATCCATGTATTCATGGTTCTGATTCTTGTTTCTAATCAATTTGAAGGAATAATTGGCTTCTAATTGGACTCTTCCTGAGACACTTCTAGTTTCACTCAGATAAAAGGTGAAGGAATATTCAATTTTGCGCACTGGACAACTTCATTCTTGGAGATCTACAAATCCAAAGGTTTGCACTCAATATGGTCACTCATTCACTGCCAATTCTCTCACGGTCCAAGGTCCAACCGTGTGTCCTGTTGTGAAGGGCATCGTGGTCAAGTTCACAAACTAGATACTGTTTATTGCCTCATCAGAAACAGCTACTAAAAACACCTAAGAGCACGAACAGGATATATATATATATTTTTTTGGATAAATACCGAACATGATAAATAACTATAACTGGGAGAGGGACTTACTTTAAAGGCAGCTGCATAGGCTGCCTGCAGATTAGACATGCCTTCAAATGGGAGCTTATTATGTATGAGCTCCCAAAGCACGATTGCAAAGCTATAGGAATCCACCTTGTGGTTATAATGCTTCTTCTCTCCATGCCTCAATGTAACTGTGCTGTATAGCTGCATCCAAACAGAAATTTGATCCTCAAGTCCCAACTCCAAAACGAGTAACACAGACAAGCACATTTCAATGGTATAAAAAAGAGCAGCAAAGGATCTGAGCCGTTCAAACACTACCTCTGGAGCCATCCAGCGGTAGGTTCCCGTTTCAGCAGTCATCATCTCTGTTAATGACTCTTCTCTTGCCAAACCAAAATCCGCAAGTTTCACTGTTTTATGGTCTGTCGTCAATAGCAAGTTTTCTGCAAAATGACAGAAGTTAAAGATAATTGGAACATACTGTTATAGACTTATAGTTGCTCCTAAAAGAAGCAAGCGGAGACAGAGAGAGATTCACCCACCACTGCAACTGCCGCAGTAGAAGCTTGGCTCTAGCCTAAAGAGTAGCAGTATGTTTGGCAATTCATTATCAACATAAAATCTCAATTGAGTTTAATTTAACCCAAACAATATAACATTAAATACAGCCCTAATAACATTCTACACAATGCTATTCTATCAGGAAAAAACACCTATACAAAGTGCTGCTGGCCATCTAATGGTGTCCAATCTCTGATTGTAACAAGTTGCAAGCCTACTATTCGTTCAAGCAATAAATGGTCTCCCTTAGAGCCATATATTTGTCTCAGGTTCAACCTCCACAAGCAAATCTTCATAAAGTAGGCAAAAGTCTTAAGCCAAAAGATGCTGTGAAGTAGCCCTATAAGGTGCCAGGGTAGATGATACATATCGTAGGAAAACCAAACAACCCAATTGAAGATGCTAAAACAAATCCTAATGCACAAAGTTAGCAAGAATCCATCATTTTGGTGACTGAATTTCAGCTAACTCCAAATACAAATTTGAACCACTTATTCCCCCCACCCCAACCAACACCACCCACCAACCCACACATGACAAAAAAATAACTGAACATATAAAAGGAGCCAACATAAACCGAGAGAACTTCCACAGGAAAATGCATCCCTACAAGCCCTGAATATACAATACAAGTATGAAAGGTTTCATGCATGTGCTCTGGTAACCAAAATTGGGAGCTTTGTGAATAGCCCACAGTCATAATTAGTATACCGTCCACCAGAATTCCTAATATGATCTACAATTATCAGCTATTGGCACTTCTAGCACCTTGTGTACATCTAACCGCCAGATCCGGCAGTGGCACAAACCTCATGGAATGAGCCATCCACACTCTTTGGAAGTCACAGAGACTCAAAGTTTCCAATTCCGTGAAGCATATACCAACCTAGAGTGACCATTTAGCTGACAAACACGACGTAGACTAGTTAGACTACCCTTTTTATATTTCCTTCTTTTGACATGCTTCCAGCTTAATGAGCCCATGTTCCTTCAGATTGATCACCAAGATTGAGACTAAAAAAATCTTCTTAATATCTAAGATTGATAATAAAAAAATGCCCAAAAACTCTACAGTTAACAAAGAAGTATGTTAAGCTCCACCAATCTCAGCAATTTGTTGTATCCATGTAAATCTAAACCTTCCAGTGAATAATAAGCATAATAAACTAGTACCAGGTTTCAGGTCACGATGTATGATCCCATGTGAGTGCAAGCATTCCATTGCACGAGCTATGTCAAGTGCAAACCCAATTGCCACACGCATATCCAAGCACCTTGGCCGCATGTTCAGCAAGTACTTTCGCAATGTCCCACCAAGAAGAAGCTCAGTGACTATGACCGTGACAGGTTCCTTGCAAGCTCCGATAAACTGCAGAAAAAAAAATATACCATAAAGAAATTGTTATGTGCCACTTTCACATATCGTGCTTGAATTAAACCCTCATAGGCATGTTGAAATAAAGACATCATTCAAAATCTGAAATGAAAACAGAAAAATAATTGCTTCTGATGGTAAAACAAAACAACCTTCACTAAGTTTTTGTGTTGAACTCTGGATAACATTGCAACCTCTCTTGCAAACCGGGCTTCCCTCTTGGCAATCTCCTCTGGCTTCCCTTTATTTACAATTTTAATAGCAACATTCTGATTCATGTACCTAAAAGGCACCCAATAAGCAAATCAGTGATATAATGCACCACAAACAGACAACAACAAATTAGCCATACTCTAATATTACAACCTGTGCAACATTAATCTGCTTTCGCTTCAGAAATACATGCATATTTTTCTGGAAAACCATTGCAGCATGGTTTTTCACACCAATAGTAATTCTCACAAATCAAAACTGAACTGTCCCTAAAATAACACAATTTTCACTTATGTAATTCACAGACAAAACCCCAATTCTTTCACTTTTTCTTCAAATAAATGACAAAAGGAAATTCATATGTTGCATATCTTAGCAATTGTTCTTCTCAGTGAATCAATAGCTACTTTACAAGAAACCATAGTTTAATTACAAATCCAGACACAATAATCATCCGAAGTTCAAAGATCGAGACTAAGACAGGAAAACCAAGAAATCAGGAAAGGTTGACTCACTTTCCTTCGTACACTTTGGCATGCGCACCTTCTCCAATCTTCGGCCCAACAAAAAGAAGCTTCGGATCAATCAACCACTTGGAGTCCAAATTGAACTCTTGCACTGAGTAGAACCCATTCCCAGATCCCATTTTCTTTCTCTCTCTACACCAATAAACGAGCTAGCGCATCTATTGACTAACAAAATCAAAACCTTGTAGTGCAACACATTTGAAGTAAGACCACATGTCAAAACAAAACCATCAGGCCATCAACAAGTTCATGTATTCTGCTTTTCAAGGCATAAACCTTATACGCAAAAGATGAAATAAATTAAAACCGGTCTTTATCTGGGAGGCAAACAACAAAAACCCTCATGTTTCCAGATAAATCCACTATCATAGACTCAGAATTAGACCTAGAAAAACCCAGATATATATAAGTAAAGACCAAACAGCTCTGTTTACATACAGAGCAGATCACTGTTTATTATAAAATGAAGATAGTATTAAAAAATCAAACTAACTCAATTGAAAACTTGAAATTAACAGAAATTCAACAAAGAACCAAGTTGGTTTTTGAGGCAATTTTCGTGTGGTGGGTCGAGTTTATTGAAGCTTCTCACCGCGTACTCTCTTCTGTACTCTCTGATCTGCAGAGATAAAGCCGCGGGGGAATTGAGTCAGACAGCAGCAAGACCCACTATTTACTTTTCTAATAAGAAATATTTTTTTACTAAATACTGACTAAGAACGATTTACCATTTTACCCGATCAAAGTGATAGTGGGTTAGTTCAAGCGGTTAACTTGTAACCTTTATTACGGTTAAATCACGAGGATATAAATATTTTAATCCTGACATAATGATACATTTTTTATCTCTTCTAGAGGAGGTTAGACGAAACGTAAATAGATTGATTCAAACATCTTAATTTGTTGAACCAAAAAGGGGATCAAAATAAAAGTTGTGGGAGGTACGATGAAGTCGTGTCAAATTACAAATGAATCGAATCGAGACTGAGTTTAGTATGAGTTTATTTGGACTCATCTTGCTCTTTTTGTAGAAGAATACTTAATTTTAAGATTGACTTGTTAACCTTTCGTATAGGTTTGAACTCGGCTCAATAAACACATTCTTATTTTTATTATCGTGAATAGTCATTGTTCATCTCACTAGACAAACCGTCGCTGAGTTTGTGTTGTATTCAATCTCGAGTTTAAAGCTCGGTACAATTTATTTATAATTATTTTAAAGGAATAACTCAAATGATAACAAAGGCGAACAGTAATTTAAACGTTCTAACTTTAAATCTTGTCAATTTTTTGAAATTAGGCTACCAAATATGATATATTAAATGTTAAATACCTTACATTTTCGAATCTAACTAATCAAACAAACTATTTTCTGAGTTGAACCCATTTATTAAAAGAAACTTCAAAACTAATCTCAATCTATTAAAGGGATGAATGAATTTTTATTAAAGACAAAATTGCATGTCAAATATTGGATTTTATATAGAATTATGCAATATTTTTATAATAATATAGAATAAACCTATTCAACAAGCACATGGAAATGGAACCTCCTCCGGGGACAATATCACTTAAGAAATTTATGAGGCTGAGAGTAGCCCTGTTTTTGGATTTGACTCATTTTATTTATTTGTTTCTTATTTGCTAGTGTATTGAAAATTTAAGTCTTAACAATTTTTTTCACCGAACCCGACACGAATTTGAGTTGAAGTTAAATGAAAATTTTTATTTTGCACTTTAAAAGATGTTTTAGTTTTCAATTTGTGCTTTTACGGAGTAGAATTCTTAAATTGCACACTCAAATATTATAAGATAGATACAATGTAACTCAATTCAAGGGTAAAATTTAAGATTGAGGATGTAATTTGAGCTTGAAATAGGGCCACATTTGCACTTGTTTTATAACATTGAAGATGCAATTTACAAATCCAATTCTTTAAGGGTATAAACTAAAAGTTACATCATTTTTCAAATTAGTCCTTAAGTTAATTTGGAATGATAATTGGAGGAATCCGTTAAGTTAAGTAAATAAGATGATATGAAGTTTATACTAAATTCAACTTCAAACTAAACATGAATTGTGTATTACACGAATTCAAAATGACATGAATTTAGTTAAATATAATTATAAATAAGTCGAATGTGAATTTAACTAAATTCAAACACGGCAATACTCATACTAAGACATGAGATGAACTCGACATAATGGTCAATTTCATTTCCAGCAATAAATTTTATTTTTATGATTAGATTAGTTAAAAAAATTAGGAATGAAAGATTTGATCATTATACCGAAATTAAAAATCACATATGTGCAAGTCATCATATTAAGGTTTCTATCCGCTTTTACTTCATAGTATGAAGGGTTATGAACTTCTTCCATGAGTCCATTATATGTTATGGCCCCAAAGATCACATTACTGTAATGCCCAATAAACTATCCCAGTCTCCATCGTTAGGGGTGTTCATACTATCTTACAGGTAGAGATTATGATATTCTATTTTCTTACCTGAAATTTTGTGGAAGAATTTTTTCTTGACCTATCCTATCCGATCAAGTGTACTAGTTCTACCCGGATTCTATCTAAAACAATCGGGTAGAAAGTCGGGTAAGAAATCAGGTGAATACTTATTTTTTAATTATTAATTTTAAATTATTTTAACAATTTAATTAAGTAATCTGCATCAATTAACTAACACAATAAATCAATAACACTAAAAAAAACACAATAAATTCAATAATACATAACACAACAAGAAAATCATAAACATCAATACATCATATATAAGAAAGTCATAAACATCAAAATTTCTAGATTTTTGAATTTTAATTTTTAATGATTAACATATGTATATATATGGGGTAGGATAGCGTAGAAATACGAAAATTTTGTAGGTATTCTACATTCCTATTCGATTTTTTGTGAAATATCAAAAAAAATTTTGTTGGCCTGCCCAATTTTTTCGAGAAGTTGATCAATAGAATCGAATAGAACAAAATAAGTTCAAAATTTAAGCACTTCTATCCGTCATCAATGGTCATAAAATGGCAATAGAACCGTTCAATACACTGAGAGTGAAAGCATAGACACAGATAGACTTGGTCAAGTACAAAGTTTCCTTCTCCATGGCCTTTGAATTGTGATTACATTGGTTGGGCTGTCGTTTTTACATTCAGCTTTTTTCAAATTTAACTTTTGAAAAAAAGTCAAATTACCATTCGTCTACACCCTGCTAGTCTCACACGCCATTCATTTATTAAGTGGTACCAAATAAGCTACTTTTTTTTTAATCTTAACAAAATTTAAAATATTAAGCCATCCATCATAATATATA